TGGCCTAAAAATGAACTAAAAATGACCCAAAATGGACAAAAAAATGACCCAAATATGAACCCAAAAATGGACAAAAAATGACTCTAAAATGACTCAAAAAAATGACTCAAAAATTACTCAAAAAAATGACTCAAAAATGGACAAAAAATGGCCTAAAAATGACCCAAAATGGACAAAAAAATGACCCAAAAATGGACCCAAAAAATGACCCAAATATGAACTCAAAAATGGACAAGAAATGACTCTAAAATGACCCAATAAATGACCCAAAAATGGACAAAATTGGCCTAAAAATGAACTGAAAATGACCCAAAATGGACAAAAAAATGACCTAAGAAATTGACAAAAAAATGACTCAAAAATGAACCCAAAAATGGACAAAAAATGACCCAAAAATGGACAAAAAATGACTCAAAAATGACTCAAAGAAATGACTCAAAAATGACTCAAAAAAATGGCCTAAAAATGACCCAAAATGGACAAAAAAATGGACCCAAAAAATGACCCAAAAATGGCCTAAAAATGAGCTAAAAATGGCCCAAAAATGGACAAAAAAAAGACCCAAAAATGGACAAAAAACCGACCCAAATATGAACCCAAAAATGGACAAAAAATGACTCTAAAATGACCCCAAAAAATGACCCAAAAATGGACAAAAAAATGACCCAAAAATGGACCAAAAAATGGACAAAAGATGACTCAAAAATGACCCAAAAACTGGACAAAAAATGACTCAAAAATGGACAAAAAATGACCTAAAATTGAACCCAAAAATGGACAAAAAAATGACCCACAAATGACCCACAAATGGGCAAAAGACGACCCAAAAATGGACCAAAACTGACCAAAAAATGGACAAAATATTCAACTCAAAATGGAGGAAAAATGACCTAAAATGGACTAAAAAATGAACCCAAAATCGGCCCAAAGTGACCCAAAAATGGACAAAAAAAACCCCCAAAACGGAGCAAAAATGACCCAAAAATTGAACCTAAATTGGACCAAAAATGAACTCAAAAACAACCCAAAAAATTAATCAAAAATGACCCAAAAAATGAATCCAAAAATGGACCAAAAAAAGAACCTGAATTGAACCAAAAATGACCCAAAATGAACCAGAAATGGACAAAAAATTCAACCCAAAATGGATCAAAAATGACCCCAAAAAAATGAATCAACAACGACCCAAAAAATGAACGTAAAACGGACCAAAAATGCCCCAAAATGGACAAAAAATGACCAAAAATGGACCAGAAAAAAAAAACCCTAAATTGAACCAAAAATGACCCAAAATGCCCCAAAATGGAAGGAAAAATGGACATAAAATGACCCAGAAATTGAACCGAACTTTAAAATTCATTCCAAATCCTCTGAAAATCAGAAATTTTTGGTGGCCAAACCCAATTTCTCGCTAGCCACGCCCCAAAACTCAAAACAACACCCGCCACACCCCTAAAATTGCCTGGAAAACCCCCAAAAAATCCTAATTTTTGGTGGTCAAACCCAATTTTTTACTAGCCACCCCCAATTTTCACTAGCCACGCCCATTTTGTCACTAGCCACGCCCCCAACTCAATACAACTCCCACCAAAACCCCGAAAACCGGCTGGAAAACCCCAAAAAAACCAATTTTTGGGTGCCTGGCCCCATTTCTGGGCTCGGTAGCCACCAGCAGAGTTTGGTAGCCACAGCCCCGGCTCAGTAGCCACTGGCAAGGTTTGGTAGCCACCGGCAGGGTTTGGTAGCCACGGGCTGGGTTTGGTAGCCACGGGCCGGGTTCGGTAGCCACCAGCAGGGTTTGGTAGCCACGGGCCCGGCTCAGTAGCCACTGGCAAGGTTCGGTAGCCACGGGCCTGGCTTGGTGGCCACCAGCAGGGCTCGGTAGCCACGGGCCGGGTTTGGTAGCCACGAGCCAGGTTCAGTAGCCACGGGCCGGCTCAGTAGCCACCAGCAGGGCTCGGTAGCCACGGCCCGGCTCAGTAGCCACGGGCCAGGTTCGGTAGCCACGGGCCAGGTTTGGTAGCCATGGGCCAGGTTCGGTAGCCACGGGCCGGGTTCAGTAGCCATGGGCCGGCTCAGTAGCCACGGGCCGGGTTCGGTAGCCACGGGCTGGGCTCGGTAGCCATGGGCCCGGTTTGGTAGCCACGGGCCAGGTTTGGTAGCCACCAGCAGGGTTTGGTAGCCACCAGCAGGGTTTGGTAGCCACGGGCCAGGTTCGGTAGCCACCAGCAGGGTTCGGTAGCCACGGGCCGGGTTCAGTAGCCACGGGCCGGCTCAGTAGCCACGGGCCCGGCTCAGTAGCCACGGGCCGGGTTTGGTAGCCACGGGCCGGGTTCGGTAGCCACGGGCCGGGTTCGGTAGCCACGGGCCGGGTTCAGTAGCCACGGGCCAGGCTTGGTAGCCACCAGCAGGGTTTGGTAGCCACGGGCCCGGCTCAGTAGCCACTGTCAAGGTTCGGTAGCCACGGGCTGGGTTTGGTAGCCACTGGCCGGGTTCGGTAGCCACGGGCCCGGCTCAGTAGCCACCAGCAGGGCTCGGTAGCCACGGGCCAGGTTCGGTAGCCACAGCCCCGGCTCAGTAGCCACGGGCCCGGCTCAGTAGCCACCAGCAGGGTTCGGTAGCCATGGGCCGGGTTCAGTAGCCACCAGCAGGGCTCGGTAGCCACAGCCCCGGCTCAGTGGCCGCCTCGGCAGGACGTGTTCCTGATGATCCGGCGGCACAAGACGACGATCTTCACCGAGGCCAAGGAGTCCTCGACCGTGCTGGAGCTGAAGAGAATCGTGCAGGGGATCCTGCACCGCCCGCCCCACGAGCAGCGCCTCTACAAGGTGGGCAGCGAGGGGTTAATGGGGACGGGATTTTGGGGAGATTTGGGGAAATTTGGGGAATTTTGGGGGTTTTTTGGGGATTTTTGGGGGGTTTTTTGGGTTTGAATGGAGCAGGGGATCCTGCACCGCCCGCCCCACGAGCAGCGCCTCTACAAGGTGGGCAACAAGGGGTTAACAGAGTTTGGAATTTTGGGGGATTTTGGGGAATTTTGGGTTTTTTTTGGGGATTTTTTGGGGTTTTTTTGGGGATTTTTGGGGTTTGAATGGCGCAGGGGATCCTGCACCGCCCGCCCCACGAGCAGCGCCTCTACAAGGTGGGCAGCAAGGGGTTAACGGGGACGGGATTTTGGGGAATTTTGGGGAGTTTTGGGGAATTTTGGGGGTTTTATGGGGATTTTATGGGATTTCTTTTTTATTTATTTTTTCAGGATTTTTTGGGGATTTTTTGGGGGATTTTTTGAGATTTTTTTGGGATTTTTTGGGGATTTTTAGGGATTTTTTGGGGATTTTTTGTAGGATTTTTTGGTGATTTTTTTGGGATATTTTTTGGGATTTTTTAAAAATTTTTTTGGGAGGGATTTTTTGGGGTTTTTTTTGAGATTTTTTTGGGATTTTTTGGAGGATTTTTTTAGGGATTTTTTGTGGATTTTTTGGGAATTTTTTGGGGGGATTTTTTGAGGATTTTTTTTTATTCTTTCGTGATTTTTGGGGATTTTTTAGAGATTTTTTGGGGGAATTTTTGGGGATTTCGGTTGGGGTTTTTTTGAGATTTTTGGGGATTGGGGATTTTTTTGGGGGGGGGTTTCTGGATTTTTTTGGGAATTTCTTTGGGATTTTTGGAGGGATTTTTTGGGGGTGTTTTGGGGGCTTTGAGGGATTTGGGATTTTGGGGGGGTTTTGGTAATTTGGGGAATTTCAAGGATATTTTGGGATAATTTCGGGAACATTTCAGGAACATTTCAGGATAATTTCAGGGATTTTTCGGGATAATTTTGGGGATATTTTGGGAACATTTCAGGAATATTTCGGGATAATTTCAGGAACATTGCGGGAACATTTTGGGAACATTTTGGGCTAATTTTGGGAACATTTTGGGCTAATTTTGGGATAATTTCAGGATCATTTTGGGAACATTTTAGGATAATCTTAGGAACTTTTCGGGTACATTTCGGGAACATTTTGGGAATATTTTGGGATAATTTTTGGATAATTTAAGGAACATTTTGGGATCATTTCGGGTACATTTTGGGGGTATTTTGGGACCATTTCGGGATCATTTTGGGACCATTTTGGGACCATTTCTGGATCATTTTGGGATCATTTCGGGATCGTTTTGGGACCGTTTCGGGACCATTTTGGGGGGTATTTTGGGATCATTTTGGGACTGTTTTGGGACCATTTTCGGATCATTTTGGGACCATTTTGGGATCATTTTGGGATCATTTCGGGACCGTTTCGGGACCGTTTTGGGATCATTTCGGGACCGTTTCGGGACCATTTCGGGACCATTTTGGGATCATTTTGGGATAATTTCGGGATCATTTTGGGATCATTTCGGGATAATTTCGGGATCATTTTGGGATCATTTTGGGATCATTTTGGGATCATTTTGGGACCGTTTCCCCCCGCTCCCCCAGGACGATCAGCTCCTGGAGGACTCCAAGACTTTGGGCGACTGCGGCTTCACCAGCCAGACCGCCCGGCCCCAGGCCCCGGCCACCGTGGGGCTGGCGCTGCGCAGCGGCGGTGCGCCCGCGGCTGGGGGGCCGGGGGTTTGGGGGGTCCTGGGGGAAATTTGGGGGTCCTGGGGGATCCTGGGG